CCCTATCCTACTTTTTGGAAAAGTTCCAGAAGGACTGCTATTAATTCTTTAAATGTTTGCTGGAATTCACCTATGAAGCCACTTCACTCTGGGCTTTTCTTGGTTAGTTTTCAAAAATTCTTTCAGTATTCTAATTTGTTACTGGCTTGCTCAGACTTTCTTTTTCTTTCTAATCCAGTTTTAGTAGGTGTCTAATTCATTGGCACAAAATTACTTAGAATAGTTATTTATGATCCTTTTATTTATGGGTTCATTTGTAGTGTCACTTCTTTCATTTCTGATTTTATTTCTTTGATTCTTTCTTTTCTGAGTTAAGGGTTTGTTTCTTGCTTGGTGGCTTCCTTTATTTATTTAAAGACAAAGTCTCACTATGTCATGTAGGCTAGGCTTGAATTTGCTATGTAGCCCAGGCTGGCCTCAAACTCACAGTGATCTTCCTGTTTCAGCCCAGCCTCCTGAGTGACAGGATTACAGGTGTGTGCCACCACATCCAACTGCTTTATATATTTTTAAAGGAAAACAAGTAAGTTTTTTTTTTTTCAGTTAAAAGTTGTTTTTCTATTCTCTGTAACATGTATTGCTGGTTTATCTTTTATTGTTCCCTTCTTTCTGCTATATTTTTAATTTAGTTTATTCATTTCCTATTTTTTGAGAATCACAATTAAATTTTTGTTTCAGATCTTTCTTTAATGTAAGCATCTATGACAATAAGCTTCTTTTTAAGACTGCTTTCTGACATTCTATACATTTTGACCTAGTTCATTATTTTTCTCAAAATATTTCCCAATTTCTTTTTTATTTATCCTTTGACCTAATATTTGAGTGTGTTGTTTAATTACTATGTGTTTGTGAATTTACCTGTTTTAGTTGTTAATTTCCTATTTCATTCCATTGTGACCAAAAATACTTACAATGATTTGAATCTTCTTGTATTTAAAACTTATTTTGTGACTCAGAATGCTTGTGTACAAGATTTTTCTTTGTACACTTGAAAAGAATGAGTATTTCACTACTGTTCGGTGCAATGTTCTCCAAATTCATCTGTTAGGTTGATTTGGCCTATGTTGTTGCTCAGTTCTGCTGTTTCCTTATTGATTTTCTGTCCCAATGATCTATCTATTATAGAGAGTAGGAAATTAAATCCTCTTATCATTTTTGTAGTGCTGGCTATTTCTCACTTCAAATATGTCAATATTTGCTCTCTATTTTAAGTTCTTTGATGTTGAGTGCATATATATTTATAAGTATATGTATCTCTTGAATTGACCTTTTTTCTTGCATGATAACCTTCTTTAGCTCTTGTGGCAGGTTTTGACTTAGCCTATTTTTGTTTGATATGAATATAGTCACCTTACTCTTCTTTTTACCAATTTAATGGAATATCTTCATCTAGTCCTGTAACTTTCAGCCTCAGTGTGTTCTTAAATTTGGGTGAATCTTTTATATATAGTTAGATCTTGTTTTGTTCTGTGTTCAATTTAGTTGCTATATCTCGGTGTGTCTTCCAGGGTTTCAGTTTGTGTCTTTTTCATGGTTTGTATTTCTTTATTGCTGTCTTACTTACTTTTCTCTCACTGCTGAGTCAAGATACCTGACATTCAAAGTTAAAGGGGGAAACATTTATTTAGCTCACAGTTTGTAGAAGTTTCAGCCCATAATCAGCTGGCTCCAAGGCAAGGTAGCATATGGCAGAAGAGCAAGGGTTCATGGCAGCAGAAGCAACAAAAACAACAAGGGAGCTTAAGAGTATCTTTCTGCCCCTTTTATCTTATTCAGTCTGCTGGGATAAGAATAGTGCCAATCCAATCAGTGGACTGATTTAGTAACCACACACCCTTAATCTAGCATCACACACTCTAGATTTAGCGACCTTTGAAAAAGCCCTATGACCACATGGGGCTTTTGGAGAATATCTAGACACAATCCATAATAATTGCACTTCTCATTTTGTTTATGTATATTTTTTCCTGATTTCATTGAGTTGTCTATTTGGGTTGTCTTGTAGTACACTGAATTTCTTTAAGATGAATTTTTTGTCAAGGAATGCATGGATTTCTATTTCTTTCAGATTCTAGAGCTTTATTCATTTTCTTCTGTGATTTCATGTTTGCTCAGTTCTTTGTGATTTTTGTAGCCTTGCATTGGTGTCTGTATATTTCAAGGAGTACTTACCTCTTCTAGTCTTGACAGATGAGTTTTAGCAGGTAAAGTTTTTCTCCTGCTGGATCCTGGAGCCAGGGTATTAGTAATCATTACAAACTTGGTGGCCATTTTTTCTCTATATTTTGTAGGTCTTATGTAGTAAGTGTTGCATTGTTTTTATAAGTGAAAAGTAACCTTTAAAATTCAAAAGTAAAAATTTAGCTTAATGAATAGCATTGTAAGGCTCAGATGTTTCTGATTATGAATGACAGCTAAACTCTCTTTTTCTTAAGGTGTACTTTGCATAAATCATGTCCTGTGTTGACAGTTTTACTGACCCACTTGAGGAATATCTTTTCTTTCCAGGGCTTTTCTTTGATAGGTACATTTATCAACATGGTGTACCAATGAAGTTTCAAAAATTATTCAGTTCAACAAATAATTACTGAATTTCTGTTGTTTACTGTTGAGAATACAGCAAACAATTCAGACACAGTCCCTGTTTTATTGAATTTAAAATTTAACACTTGAAAACTGTTGAAAAAGCTGCCATGGGCTTGGTGGGTGGGAACACACATGCAACCTAAATCAGAGAAGCAAGCCAGGCTTTTGGAGGAGTGCAGTGTCAGAGTTAGCCAGAGGAAAGGCAAGAAATTGTCCTACAGAGTTGAAATGGTATATGTAGAGGTCTGGATGTGAGCTATGTTTGAAGAACAAGAAATAGATGCATGTAATTTCTGGTGATAGCCAGCAATACTTGCAGTTCCTTGATTTAAGGCTTCAGAACTCTAATCTCTATCCCCATCTTCATATGACTTTCATCTCTTTGTGTCTTCCTTTCTCCTCATAAGGAAACTCATCATTGGATTTAGGTCCCACCCTGATCTAAGAGGATCTCATTTCAAAATCCTTAGCCTAATGATAGCTATAAACTCCAAGTAAGTTCACCTTCTGAGATTCAAGGTGAATGTATGTTTTTCAGGCTATAGTTCAACCTGTTACAGAGGTTTGTAAGAAGGTGCTTGAGGGGTGGGGATTTAGCTCAGCGGCAAAGCGCCTCCCTGCAAGCGCAAGGTCGTGAGTTCAGTTCCCAGTACCGGAGAAAAACCAAAAAAAAAAAAAAAAAGGGTGCTTGAGTAAATCACGCTTGCATTTCAGATGACTCACTCTAGCTATTGTTTGGAGAATGGGCTTGAGAGAGTAAGTGGGGAGCAGGGATATCAGTGAGAATCTGGGTAAAGTACAGTATTGTATACCAATAGCTTTGGAAGTTGGAAAGTGGAGATGAACGTAGAAGATGCTTTGGAGATGGTTAGTTGGGGAGGAAGAAAGAGGGCTGTGGTTGGGGAGCACAGGTAGTAGGAGCGATTTTAAATGATGAAAGGTATTTGGTGAATTTTAAATGGAGATAAGAAAGATGTTGTCTATGAGGAAACATAGTTGAAATTAAGAAAGTGAGGGGTAAAGAGCTAGAGAGTAAAGGAGGAAGAATCCGCAACACAGACTGAACATAAAATGGCATGCTCACATCAACTTGACCAGTGCTAGATAGTTTAAAATCTCTGAGAAAATGCTGATGGTAATGTTGAGGAAGGCGGTTACTCCTGTTTGAGGATTCTCTATGTGCCAAGTACCATACAGATTACATCCCATATGTGTTATTTTATTTAATCCTTGTGGTAGCTATATTTATTTCCTCCTTTGTAGTTTAAAAAACTGGAGCAGAAAGAGGTTGACTGATTTGCCCAAAGCCCAATAATAAGTGGTAGAGTATGATTTCGACCCAGGCTCTGGGACAGCTGAACCTGTCTATACTGGTAGCTCCTACTACTGTATACTGCTTTCAGGGGAGAAGAGATAACCAATATATGCATACTTTTTCATGGTAGATGTGTATTTTGAGAACATATATGGTTGTCATTTAAAAGACTGTAAAATGATGTTCTTGCCCGCTGTTCTTTTCCTTTGTTCTTGTATGACTTGCCACTGGATTGCTTCAGAGAGGGAGTATCATTTAGCATTCATATTTTCATGGGATTGGGACAAGTTTGATTCATTTCTCTATTTATCAGGATGGTGAAGTGAGGTGATTTTTATACCTTCATATTATTAAACTTGCCTAAGAATTAAAGCTGCTCATAGGAGATTTATTCTCATAAACTTTCAAATGTAATTTCTCCCATGACTCACTGACACATGTTCTGTAATGTTAATTTCCGGATTTCTTTATTAACTGTTTAAGGTACAGTGGGTAATATTGAAACAAGGCCACTTAAAGCTCAAGGCTTTTTAAGTAGAAGAAGCGGATAAGGAGAAAATGGAATTTCATTTTCCAAAATTCTAAAATATTAGTGAAACTTTAAATTCTTATTTCCTATGTAGATGGCATTACTAATTTACATATTACCATTGATAATCACCATCATATTACACAGCTGGCTTTACAAAAATGTATGTAGAAAGCAACTTTCCTTCTAATTGCAAATTTTGATAGAAATATCCATCTGAAAGTTTGCCTCAACTTTGTTAGCATCAGGTAGCTGTAGTTTGTGAGTTTGAAGTTGAACCCTAAGCTAATGACAGGCATAAGAGTTGTACTCTGGGTAGAAAAAGCATACATGCAAAAGTATGGAGGTCTGTTATCTGAGAAGCCAGCCTACCAGGATATAGTAGGTGACAGTCCTTTTCCATTGCCCATACATAGTCTTGGGGACTTGAGCCAGGGTAAGGACTTGTAGAGTATTTGTCATTCTAATTAATACAAGTAAAGATTCTCAATAGCTGTGGTTATTTGTTAGAACCAAAAGTTGAATCAATTTAATGGTGATGACATTTTTTTCTTTTGTGTTCTCTTTCAGTCACTCCTGAAGCCATTGGCTTCTTGTCTGCTGTTGGGGTCTTTATTGTTCTTCTGGCTGTCCTCTTCCTCTTTATCAACAAGAAGCTGTGTTTTGAAACCATAGGAGATCTTCCATTCCTGGGACAACGAGGAAAAAGAAAGCACTCTAAAGACAAGACTCAGATCCACAAGGGGCTTGGTAGGTGTCGTGTGTCATATTCTCCTGAGTTTGACATCTTGCTGTGGTTTGGGTCAGGGAAAGAGTGTCCCCATTTCTAGGATGGGTCCCAGTAAGAGCTCAGCCATGAGCTCTTTAGTAGCCATGGTGGTGGACATGGTGAATGGCTGTTACTAAAGGGTCTGTCACTTTTATGAAGGTAATGCTCTCCTTAGGGTTTGAAGAGCGGATGGGAAAAGCTACATCAACACTTACTGTCTTCTTAGCTCTTCAGTTGTCCTATGTCGAGTTTACCTCTGGCTACTGTTTGAAGAAAAAGGTGTATATTGGTTGCCAAAAGCCTTGATTTTAGCCTCATGATGTTGACATTTTACTTCTTAGCTGTTTTGGGGCCACTCCTACCTTGTAGGACAACAGTCACTTTCCCACAGGGAGGCTTTCACTCTTTAAGAACACTGAATGTTCTACATCATTTACTCACTGCACTTAATTTGATGAATGAAAAATAAAGAAACAATTGACTTCTTGCTCTTCAAGGACATATTCTACGTTCATCTGGTGACGTGTAGCACTTAGTGGTGCGTGTCATCATCGCAGTGTGCTAGTTATCATTCCACACAAGCTGTGCACTGAAAGAGCACTCGTACCTCATAACTTAAGGCTTTGCTGCTGTTTAGCAGTCTATTAACCATCTCCCTTGTACCATACAGGGTATGGGACATGATGGGGTGGTCAAGGAGCAACGTTGCATTCTCCTTCGAGCAAGGTCAAAGTCTGGAGGAGAACACTGTCTGGTCCTTCTTGCCCTTGGTTGTCTTAAGTGAGTGTAGACCAGGTAGCTTATTGATACAGTGGCTTTTGTAATCGTGTTCAGCTTGTTGTCTTGTTATAAAAAGGCATAATTTACATGTCATTTGCAAGAAAATAGAGGAAACTAGAAGCATCATGTTAAGCTAAATAAGCCAGACTCAGAAAGACAAGGCTGTCGTCTTCCTAATATGTGGTCTTAAAAAATGAAAGTAGAAGGGAGATTCTTAATAGACAAGAGGGAGGGAATAAAGACAAGGGGGAGAGGATGTAAGAGAGGGAAGGTTAGAAGGAAAATGGATATGATCAAAATATTGCATATATGTTTATGAAGATACCATACCAAAAGTTTGTAAAATTAATAGATATTAATAAGTAGTATATTAAAAAAGTATAATTTAGGAATAAAAATATATTACTTTTCTATTGCTTCATAACAAATTACCCCAAACTTTAGTGGTTTAGAACTATGAATATTCACCTGACTTTTTAAAAAAATTTGAGAATCTAGGAGTGGCTTGGTTGGGTGGTCTAGAATAGGGTCCCTCATGAGGAGGTGTCAGCTGGGCTGCCATCCTCTGTCAGCGGGTACATGGCTGTCAGAGTCACTTCCAAGAGGGTGAAAGGCCTCACTTCCTGTCCCTGAGCCCATCCCAGGACTACTTGTCTTTATGACCTGGCATCTGACTTTCTCTTAGTGAGAGATCCATTGAGAATAAGAGGAACCGCAGTTCCTCCTACAAGCAAAACTGAAAAGTCACACAGTGTCACTCGGTCACATTCTAGTCATTTGCTGAATTTAGGCTGTGTTGAAAAGAAGGGAGATTAGCCTGTACTTGAGGGAAAAAGTATTAAAGAATGAGTGAACAAAAATCAGAGATGGTGATTAGGAAAGGTATAGACTGCAGATTGGCCATTCATTGGGAATGTTGCTGCTTTTTTTTTTTTTTGAACTCCACTTTGGACATCTGATTCATCTTCTGAAAACAGAATGGAATATTTACATATAGTTTGTCATATAAAATTGGGGACTTATGAATAGTTTAGGAACTACTGTCCCAGTTGGTCCATAAGTAAGTGGGATGAGTGTCTGCTTGCTTGTGGGGTGGTCTGAGGGAGGACTCATAACTACTCTAATTCCCCCTTCAGAGCTGACTGCCACTTGTGTAACCTTGGCAAATCACACAGCCATTCTGAACTTCAGTTTCCTCATGTGCATATTGGGATTATCAATATATCTCTGGCAGGGTTGGTCTAGATTAAGTGCATTAATTTTGTCAAGATACTAACATTGGGTCTATGGTGAAAGTCCTAATAGTGCTTGAACCATAGTTGTATAATATTAACCAGTGCCAACTTCTAAGATTAACATCACACATGAATATATTACATTTATTACTTAACTGGGGGAGTTTGAAGCTGGTAATATTTTCTCCTTTGCAAACTATAATGAGTACAAAGCACTAAGGTTAGAGCTATTTAAAATATTGCCTTTTTATCTTGTTTGACATGTTATTTGAGTATTTTAAAGACAATTATGAATTATACTTGCAAATAAGTTGTGGTTTGAAGGTAATGTTGAAACAATAAAAATAAAGCATGAACCAGAAGCGGTTAGCTCAAAAAAAAAAAAAAAAACCAAAAAAACCAAAAAACCAAAAACCCCACAAAACACTGAAAAATACAAGTCTTCAGTTGAGAGTGGGGTCATATGAAGGGAGCTTTTAAAATAGTTTATTCAAGAGAATCTCTGAATTATAATGTCTAAAAAGCAAACACCTTCATTTTGACATTTCTCCTTTTAGAGGTTTAATTATCATTGATCAAAAGTCTTTAGAAAACATGCTTCTATTCCAGATTTTTATCTAACCTTTGATATTTGCCTTAATTATCACCCCCAGAGCACTGATTTCTCTGAAGTTGGGATGTTCTTAACATATTTTGACAAATATTAAAGAAGAAAGGAAGGCAGCCTGGTGTAAAAAGAAGTGTGGTGCACGTAAAGCTTAGTTTTATGGCTAATTGACTGTGGTATTTTGGGAAACTTGCTTCACCTCTCTGGGTCTTAAGCCCTCATTTGCGAATTGATGAGTCTGGACTAGATTTCTCTCAGTTCTGTGATCCTGTTTGGTTCATAGGGTTACCATGGCAACTTCTTCTGTAGCTCTTAGTCTATGAATGGAAGAGACCCAATAAAAATGATTAAAAATCTCTAGATCATCCTTCTTTTAAATTGAAGTATATTATAGGTAAAAATAGCTGAATATCAGTGACCTAATGAATCCTTATAATCTATGTGCTCTTCTGATCTTTGCTGATCAGGCAATATCAGAGAGACATGAGCAACAACTTATTTTCTGAACCTACTATGCAAAAATAATTTTCTTTAGGCTACATATTTTTCAAATATACCTTTCTTTAGGCTATATATTTTTCAAAGTTTGAAGAATATTCATACCACTTTCCATGTGGAATTAAAGGGGAAAATAATATGAAATGATGTCTTGCTAATAACACAGGTAAGAATAATAATTATAATTGTCCACTGTCATTTATTTAGCCCTTGGGACTGCTATATATCCATTAAATATTTTATATGCATTATTTGATTTCTGTACAGTGCTGTATTATACATTGGTAGTGATTACTTTGGAGGGAAAGGTAGATTCTACTTGTAACAAAGGAGCTTTTATTCAGCTGTGAGATAGAAATGGATTAAAAATGCAAATCTCATACTGAGATAGTTTTTAAAGAAATGTATTTGAGGACAAGGGGGATGAGAAAGAGATTTTGTTTTGTTTCCCCAAAAGCTTTTTTTTGTGTGACAAAGGCAAAAGACTTCGGAGCAAAGACCATTGTTTTAAGAGGTATAAGGCAGAAAGGATGAAGGAAACAGCTCCTCTTAAGCAAGGACAGGGAAAGAGTGACTCTCCAGCTGTGGAAAGGTCAGACAATGGCTTGGAAGATGACGAAGAAGGACATTCAGAGGGCCTGAGACGTTGCCTGGACTCAACTTTGACAAGGGTAGCTGGTGTGGAGCAGTTGGAGCCTGGCTCTAACGTTTGTAGTAATAGCAGAATCCAACATGACCCAAGGCAGAGCCACGAAGCAGAGCACTGTATGCTCCACGTTCGGCACTAACCCTGCAGATCACATGCACCACGTGGGCCTGGGGTGGCTGCAGCAGGGTAGAACATAACAGCGAAGGTGGAGGGAGACAAAACTTCTCCTTTGCAATTCCTCCACATGAATAGTTCATACCAACAGATATTTGGACATTTCTGCATGACCCTATGGAGTGCACAAGATAGTGGTGTTCCCACCAGGCACATAAGATTAGTGCAGCATGGAATGAGGTGGGTCTATGTCAGAGCCTGGGAAACAAATTATCCCAGGCCTGTGGGGACAGGGCTGTCATCATTATACCTGCCTCCTGTGCGGTGGCCCTGAGCAGCACCCCCTTAGAAAGGCTCTGCAGTTGGCTTAATGCTCTAGTGTTGCTGTCTTGAAATTCTTAATGATTCAAAGGTCCTGAATTTTTCTTTTGCACTGAGTCTTGGTAGTTATGTGGTTTGTGAGGCTCGCATGATCACCAGGCGGCACTCCAGGTCTACAGACTTGGCAGAGAAGGCTGTGAAGGCAGAGGCTGATGCCTCTGGAGGTCAGCGCACACCAGCAGGGATGAGCAGCACATCAGGTTAAATAAGCTTACACCTAGGCTGCACGCTCCTTGGTTGAAGGGGATATACAAGTAGGAGTGGAAATCCCAAAGGCTGATTATTTACCCAAAGTGAAATTGACAGTTGCTTTGAGTGGGCAAGTTGAAGTTTAGTTTCTCAACACTGAGCCTCTATGAACGAGGGCTTCAGAAAGAGATGAGAGTAGCAAGGGTAGACAAGGACACTGCATTTGGTGCCCAGCAGTGAGGCTGTGCCAACTGGAGCTCCTATAGGAGAGCTTTCTCCTTATAGTTTCTAGATAGGCCCAGCTGATTGGTCCTTCTCCACGACCAGCCCTACCTCCTTACTTGCAACTAAGTGTACCTTCTGGTCCAGCAGAGACCTCTGACCTGCCCCAACATTTCCTTCTGCTTGGGGCATAATGGATGCTGTTGTCAAATATTTGTGCCTCACCTCTGCTTTTAGGTCAGAGTATGTTCAAGTGCAAGTTTTCTATAACACAGTTCAATAAGTCGTTATTGTCATCATCTCTGC